TCAGATCGCGTCTTTGATAATTCACACAGCGTGATTGTGAATCGCCGCCAGCTCCAGATATTTAGCATGCCAAATATTTCACGGGCGTCGGCGATTCCCTCAGATCGCGTCTTTGATAATTCACACTGCGTGATTGTCACTCGCGTGAACGAGCACCGATTTGCCTCCGATGTCGGGCATTTGTCGGCGATTTCGCAAAACCTGTCGGCGAGTGAAAAATCGGGCTAAAATCGTTCAGTGTGAACTCGGCATTAGGTTATTAAAAAAATTACCTACAGGGAACGTTCCCAGAACGTTCTTCTTTGGTTCCCAAAATAATAACCAAATGGGAACATTAGCGGAACGTTCTGTGTTTGTTGGGTAGTTACTTGAAACATTTAACCCGTTTACGCAACTCGCGTTACTTGTAATGCGTTACCCCAACACTGATGGATGGATGGATGGATAGATATTCACCTCATTGGCTTCACTCTGCTGCTGTTCCTTCTTTCGTCTTCTCTTCTCTTTCTTTTTGTCGTTATTTTGGTTGATCTTCCCGCTGGGAGATTTCCCCGAGCGGGGCTTCCCTGCTCCACGACCCACCTTAGGCTTCCCCGCATCCGAGTCCGAGTCCGAGTCCGAGTCGACCTGCAGCAGAGCGAAGCGGGACGCCGTGGTGGGCACCGAGATCGCCGCCGATGCCATCCTGAACCTGCCAAGCACACGATCGACACATCACGCCTGATTCAGCGCCGTCATGCTGGCGCAAACACTGATTTACGGCGAGAGCATTCACAAATCAGTGCTACATAGACACAGAGGAAAACAGAACAACATGCATGTAATGAACTGACAGAAACAAATAAAACCAGCTTTAAACTGCATTGCAAATCACAAATCTGTTTGCTGTAGAGTTATGGCACGTGTGTAGAGAATAAACGACATATTTAGGCTTTTTTTAAACACCCATATATACTGCGGTTGCAATCATCACATCATTTGATACCCCGAATGTCGCTAGCTTCGACTTTTTTTTAGCTCGCCAATGCTGAACACAAGTAACAACCGCGTGCTGTCGCTGTCATTGGTCCTGAACGCGTTTCATGCTCTTCAGCTCGTCTCGTGCAACTTAAACCTGAACCAAACAAACTTTCACCTGTTTAGGATTGTCGGTATCCTCAGCTTCGAGCAAACAGAAACTGCGAGCACACACAGACGAGAGTATGGCGGCCTGAACGGACACAAAAGCTTGGGTGGAAAATGCGGCCAGATAATAACCTGGCCCGGGTTAATGGAGCTGTTCTCACTCCAGGTGGCGCTCTGCGGCTCAGGAAGCCAACTCTCAATTCAGTCGCATCAGTTATCAAAATTATTTTTTTTTTGTGTCTCTTAAGATACTTGTATCCTAAAACTAATAATTATTTAATTTTATAAATGTAAATACTTGGCATGCATAGTAGTACGTGGCGCAGAAATGTATATAGAGCTATTACATTTATTTTTTTTTTTTTTATGCAGTAATCACAATGACTGTGGTTAGTCTACCCTAATCAACGAAGAGAAAAGCAATAGATACCGGTGTGGAAAATAATTCACGCCTGAATAAATGCAATGAAAAACTTTATTATGCACAAAAAGTTAAAACAAATGACGTTCAAATCCAGCTAACCAATTAGAAACGCCGTCCACGACCAAGCCCCGCCCATTACCTGTTTTCATGCCTAGGGTCATTCTGGTCACTTATTTTATAGGCCCGTCTGTAAGTGGTCAAAAGCGTTTTAAAAAGATGTACGAGCTCTATTGTATCATCAGTATATTGGACAGTACTCGTAGTTCTTGCTGTTCACACTTTTAATCACCCTAGTTGTAAAAGATCTTTTAAAAACTGAGCCTACAGTAAACCATCAAACTAGAACAAATTTCTTGTTTTAGTAGATTTGTAAACTGGTATCAACCATCAAAACTGTCTTAAATTCTGATTATTAAATCCCTTAATCCCTGATTTGACACTGATTAAGTTTTCAGTGTACATGATCCTTCAGAGATCATATGCTGGTTTGGTGTTCTTATTATCAATGCAGAAACCCGTTTTTGCTGCTTAATATTTTTTGTGGAAATTATAGAAAGTTCAAAAGTACACTTACTTAGAAATAGAAATTCCTGTAACAATATAAATGTCTTTTCAGTCATTTTTAAATCAGTTAAATGCATCCTTGCTGAATAAAAGTATTATTTTCTTAAAAAAATTAAAAATCTTAAAGTCTCTTAATCATTTTCACATAATATTAAAAAACACCACCGTCACACATATAAAAGACAAATTAAAGACTTTATTCCATGTGATAAATGTTATTAAACATATAGCCTATATATATTTTGAAGAATTTTAATTTTCAAAATTTGAAGCAGTCGAAAATATCCCTAAATGAAGAATTCATATGAATATTCCATATTTCGTGGCTATTTGATTCAAGCAAGCTTTTTTGGTTGATATTCCTCTCTTTAGATCTGGCTTCTCTACAGGACATTGTCTGTACTGTAGAGGACTGAGTTACTTTTTATGGAAAGTAATGTGTTACATACTCTTGGGTTACTTTTTCTCATCTGGGCTGGGCTTGCTTGTTTGTTTTTAATATAAAACATTTCTATTTTTGGCCAAAGTTAAAGCCCTTCCAAAACAAAAGTGAAACGAAAAAGCCTCAGGCTGAAGGAAATGTAAATTCACGTCTGTACAGTAGAGGGCGCAGCTCAAATAAACCTTTCAGCTCTGCTGCCGTTCTGGACTACATGAAGAATAGGACGCAGGAGAAGAAAGTTCAACACTCTTCAGCAATACAAAAAAGAAAAAAGAAACTAGACACAAATGTTATGTTTATCTAAAGTCATTGTTTGCTTATTAGTGTGGCTGAATTGGATCGTCAAGGGTCAGCCGCAAAAGACATTGGTTAATAAAATGGGATTAAGTACATAATGGATGTTTGTGTTATTTAACATATTGCAGGTTTGTGTCGTATTCTGAGTTCGCATTTTACTGTTCACTGTTTTTATTTATTCTGAGGAATACTGAATCTGTTTTTGTGTAAGTGAGATGAGTAAATGCATGTTCACATTTAGTCTAGATCTAACATCATAGCGCACACAACGCCTCTGCACTTACTTAAAATAATATACTTAACTGTGAATTGAATGCAATGTTTTCAGATACTTAAGTGCATGTCAATCGCAATTAAATGAAAAATGATTAAAGTTTATATTAAATGCATTTAGTTGAACTTAAAAGTGCTTATTTGACCCCCTTAAGTAGGACTATCTTTATATGCAATGTCATAAATACTTCTAGGTCAGTGGTTCTCAATTCCAGTCCTCGCGTTCCACCGCTCTGCATATTTTGCATGTCTCTCAATTTAAGACACCTGATTCAGATCACAAGCTCATTGGAAGAGAGCTCCACGCATTAACTGTGTTCCGACTGATAGGGTGCCTACACAGCATTCATTGCTCCCTACTCCTGAACACGGGAAATCCGTTAAAGGGTTAGTTCACCCAAAAATGAAAATAAGCCCATGAATTACTCACCCTCAAGTCATCCTAGGTGTATATGACTTTCTTCTTTCAGATGAATCCAGTCGGAGTTATATTAAAAATGGTCTTTGAACTTTCAAGCTGTTTAATGCCACTCAGCGGGTGTTGCATTGCTTCAGTCCAAAAGAAGTGAAATAAAAAGCGCCCATCCATAAAAAAAGTGTCTCACACGGCTCCGGGGGGTGAACAAAGGCCTCCTGTAGCGAATTGATGCGTTTTTGTAAGAAAAATATCCATATTCAAAACGTAATAATCATTTTAATGTAGCTTGCGCCAGCAGTCCTACACAGAAGCAGCTCCGGGCGGATGACGTATGAGGTCAGTGCTGCGCATGCTAGGATGCCTCGGGGGTGAGTAAAATGCATCTTAATTTCATTTTTGGGTGAACTAACCCTTTAAAGGTGACTACAGATGCACAGAAAATGCGCAAATATACGGTTTATAGAACAGTTGCAAAGCGTAAAAGCAAAAAAAAAAAAAAAAAAAAAAATATTGTTTCCATGTATTTCGTGAACAGATTATATTTTGTAAACGATTATATAACGTGGACCATACACCAGACCTTATTGATTTGGACATTTAAGCCACAATTGATAATGTATCATGCAAATTTGTAACGAAATAACAAAACAGCAAGTGATAGAAGTAGGGCCTATGTTGTTCAAAATGAATATGAAGTCTTCAGACACTTTCTGGCTGTCAAAGGGGGACTTTAATGAGAGAATTTCAACATGGTTTGTCTTTAAGCATATTAAAACGTTAAAAAGTAGATTTCCCCATATGGGGTCTTACTTAGTGACCTATGCTACACAATTAATGTGCATGCATGCTATAATAAAAACTGTGTCAGACAAAATGATAAAGTTGGTAATTTTCTTTGTCATAAACAAGGTGTGAAGCCATCAAGATTACTGTCGACCAAAGTGCAAACACGTCTGAGGCAACAATTCAACCTTTCACATTTTGCATTGTCTGCATAAATGTGCAAACAGAATAAGAGCACAGGACACAATTAACTGCAACTGGTCCAAGTGTAAGATATTTATTATTATTTACATGTGACTGCAATCTTTAACCCCCTTATTGAGATTGGAAATTAATGATGAATTATGTCACAAAATGTGAAAAAGTCCTGGACAATATGTCACCCTATAATCAAAATCAGAAAATTACATTTTGCATATAGAAAATTAAGCCTGTTTTTAGGGCCATAAGAGACTCTGTGGTTACATTATTTTCACATCCCACCAAAACCAGTTTACTAGAATGCAAAAAGTCTAATTTGGACAAATGCACAAAAACATATAACGGTTACAAACATTTGTGAAGTAGGCCTATACTGCTGGTATGTTTTTAATTATTAAGGAATGACTTCGTCCAGACAAGATGATTTACATTATATAGTACTGACATTATTTAATAATCGTATCACACCGGAAAAAAATGGCAATTCCTTTATTATTTCAGACAAATGACAAACTCTACAAATGTGCCTGGCTGGAGAACTTTAAGAGACAACTTGAGTAAAAAAATAAAGATAAGAAAAATAAAACAAAGAATAGGAGCGTATGAATTACCGTCCTGCTCTGACACAAATATGGTCTAAAACTTCAAATCCACTTTTGTTTTCTTCTTCTTTATTAAAAAAACAAAACAATAGTGGGCCTTCTTTTAGGATGGCAGACCTACAAAAAATTCCAGAGGTAGAGCAAATTTTTAAACACTAGATTTTAAAAACCCAGCAACAGACAGGAGAAAAAAAAAAAAACATACAACAAAGTACTGCAAGCCTTCAGTACCTGGTGAAAATATTATCTGTATTTCTGAGGATAAAACATTACACACATGGAACAGAGAGTGTGAAGGATATATTCTTATGTCCATAGTAATCATTTCCCATAGTATCATTGGATATTTACATTTCATTCTCTATCTAGCCGTTTTAGAACACTCAGAAAAACAAGTGAAGTGTAAAAAAATGAAAAAATAATAATTGTTGTGTGACTGTGCACATCCTGGATCAAGCGTTTGGAATAGTGGAAAAGTTTCATAACTCACAAAACATTCACTCCAAAAGGGAAAACAACAACAGCAGTTTTCTGCTCATCCAAGACTTCTGTGAAGTGATAGTTGGCCCATATAAAATTAATATTTATAAAAACAAAGCAAAAGAAAGAACAATCCCACAAAATCCAAAATCGAGGACAATCAGAGGGCTCGGGCTCGTACGATTCTATGAGAGATTCCTATGAAGGTGACAGACAGGGTCAGGCCATCACGTGCTGACGGGGACTTGAGCTGCAGCTGGATGGACATCCTGAGAAAGGTGGGCTGGTCAGTTCTGGCGTCCCAAGAGGTGTAGAGCGCTGGAGAACAGAACGTGTGAGAGAGACCATCAGCAAAGACTACAGATACACAAAGACGGTTCACTCCAATTACTTATGAATGGGAGAAACGGCATATTCCGCCATATTGCATATATGGTGGAATATGTGCCGCCTTCTAAATGAAAGAGCCAATTGCTGATTGGTAACGTCATTAGCTACGTCTCATTTCAGAAGCTGTGCCCTCCGGAGGTTGCATTTGTAGGCTGCATACGTCATCAAGGATAAGAAAAGTAACTGTATTTTACTGTAAAATATGTAAATACTGTAATTTCTTTTTACTTTGCAATTTAACAGTTACTTTACTTAAATGAGACTGCCCCGATGACGTATGCAGCCTTCAAATGCGACCTCCGGAGGACACAGCCTCCGAAATGAAGCCATTAGAGCCATTAGAGGCTCCGGTTCCCATAGAAACCTGAGACTGCGCCAGTGGATGTGTCTCATACCTGTTCTGTAACAGGTACTGAGCGTTCTGGATCTGGTCTTGGGTCCCGGTGATGGTGATGATGCGGTCCTCTGAACCCTGCAGGGGCTCGTCTATTTTGATTGAGGCTCCGGACTCATGGCGAATCTGCTTGATCCTCTGACCGCCTTTACCGATGATGGATCCCGCCAGCTGAGAATCACAGCAGAGGGAGGTAAACACGCGGTTCAGGTGTAAAGCGCATCGCATTACGGGCGATTTACTCACATCTTTAGGAATCGTCACTTGTGTGGTGATCACAGGACCTTCAGTGTAACTGCTCCTTCCACCTGAGAACACCGAGAGAGTGAAATCACCATAACATGACGGGAGATTTACAGCTGAAGAATTTTCAAGTTGGCCAGTTTTATAAACAGGATGGCATACTTACCAGACTGATAAGAGGAATCCCAAGATGAACTGTTGTCTGATTTGAGAAAAGCAAAATGAAATGGTAAATAATCTTATGCAAAGATGAAGACCTATTGTGTAAATTGGGCCACTCTTTTGATACGTCTTTTTAATGTCAACAAGTGTCTCAATTTAGTTGAATTCATTAAGTAAAATCACCTGTACTTAATACGCATTGACAAACATAAACTTTCTTTTAATCTAAAATTTTTAGATTACTCAACCCCTAAAGAGCATGAATGAATGAAAATTGAATGCAGAAAAGTAAATATGCATTTAAAGACAAACTTACCATATCCATCACTCTGTGAGAGAGAAGAGAACAGAAATGTGAGAATCAACAACCTCAAACACAAAATGAAAACAATGTGTCCATCCCTTTATTTCCATGGCAACTATCTACTCAATCATCATCAGTTACCCGGTAACACTTCAACTGCTTCAGCATTGGATGCTATTGTTAAGGAAACTTTTCCTTAAAGTTGCCATGAAACAGAAATTGCGAACGTCTTTCACATTGTGACATATATTAAACTCAAATAATGGAAGCTTGTTTCCATCACTGAATAAAAAAATAGTTATTGTGAATTTTTATCTAACAATTCTGAAATTTCTTCCCTCATAATTCTGAGTTTACATCTTGAATTTTTTTTTTGGGCCAGGAAATAAAAAAAGTAATTCCAACTTTTTTTTCTCACAATTCTGACATTTTTCTTGCAATTGCAAGTTTATATCTAACAATTTGAGTTAAAAATCGTGTTTGTATCTTGCAATTCTGAGCTTATCTCACAAAAAAAGTCATAATTATGAAATATAAACTCAATATTGATTGAATGATGATTTGATTTTGATTAAATATTACGAGGGCATGTTTTTTTTTTCTTTAAATGATGTAAACACACAAGTAATTTATAATGAACACTCCAACATTCCAAAAAATAAAGATTGCCAATTTTGATGTCATGGTGACTTGAAGTAACGTGACCCGTGGTTTTTAAAAGATCTAGTTTTGTGAGTCACGACTTGAAACTGAACTAAACATCATAAAATCACAAAGAGACTGAATACTGACCATGCTGCCTCCATAACGATCATTGCGCCCTCGTCTTTCCCCACTGGAGGAAAAAGCAATATGACAATAAGCCAATATCACATCCTACTAAAACAAATACTGTTCCACAACACCAAGCCAACATGACTGATAACCAGAGAAAGCTTATAGATAAAGAACTTACTGCCGCCGTTCGTCCATGTGGCCACGCTGGGAGCTGTAGGAGTACTGATCATCACTGTAAAAATAAAGAGACATACAGAATCCATAAACGGTCAAGACAAATCGAATAAATTTTTTGACTTTGGCAACTAGCATCGACTCGTCTAGACTGCAAATCAGAGGGGAAAATTTGAGCAAAGGTCGTGTGGTCTATTCCAGCATTCATATTTAAATGTAGTAGACATCTATCAAAGTGTCTCACCCTCTCCTGTGGTGTGGGGGTCCCATGGGAATGCTTCGGTGAGGACGACTCCCTCCTCTTCCCCCTCTCTGGGCTGGAGGGGGGCCCCTGCGTGGGCTCATGTCATTATAGTCTCTCCTGTTTTGCATGTGGTGACCGCCACGACCCCCGCTGGGGGGCATTCGATCAAAGCCTCCGCCGCTGCCACGCCCCCTCGAGGAGAAGCCACCCATAGGCCGACGGCCCCGATCTTCATGCATCATACTGAAGCCACCATAGTCATACGTCTCATCGTAAAAGTTAGGGTCGTACTGCTGAGCTCGACCTTTAATGGGAGCCTGGAGAGCCAGAGAGAGTTCATGAGAAACATGTCTAATGACACCTGGACACACAGCACTGGCAAACTATCTCAATCTGACCTCCACAATGAGCTCCAGCATGGTCTTAATGCACTGCACCACCCGCTCCGCTTTGCCCCCCACGAGCACCACGCGGTCAGTGGACTGAGGACAGCACTCCTGAAAGAGTTTGATGGTGGTCTGGGTGCTCTGGAAGAAAGAAAAAAAGATTTATCAGCACAGGAAACTCATATTCTATAGATAAAATTCTCATCAATGTCTTACTTCACGAAGTTCCTTAATCTTAGCGCCCTTCACGCCAATGATGCTCCCAGCTAGACTCTGATGGATTAGCATCCTCAGTTCGCAGTCAAAGTCCACATCATTATGATGTTGATACTGCTCCAATCAATTAGAGAGGAGAATCCAATGTAATTCAAATGTAATAATATATATGCGCACACACACATTTACAGATACACTTTTTTTTGTTTTGAAAAATATATATACATTGGTTGTGTTGTTTTTTAAAACTTTTTCTTTATGTATACGTTGGTCATATTTAAAAAAAAAACTTAAATAAAAATTGGGTCTAAAAATGATAATTTTATATACAAGGAGTGTAATGGTTAATGTATTCATACTGAAAATTTTCGGAAGGGGTCTTTTGGAAGCATTGTTTTAACCACTGCACATGTAGAACTTCTCTGTGTGGAATATATTTTGAAAAAAAAAAAAAATTGGGAAGAATATAATATAATTACATTTTTAAAATAACATTTTTGAAAACATTTTATACATAAATGTATATATTTTTTAATAAAATTAATCATTTTTAAAAGTCAAACTTCAATACTGAACAAACAATTGTAAAAAATAATTTGATGACTCGTTTGAATTTTGGGAAGAAAAAAAAAATTTCACCTCTTCCAGAGTAGGTATGACCTTCAGCAATATCTCAGCCACCGTGGGAATATCTGCACTGACACTTAGGATTCTGTCAAAGTAATGAATCGCATTCCGTGAGAGGAGAGAAGAGAACCGATATTAGACACGCAAACAGTACCATCAGTGCTTTTGTTAGTGCATTTAACAGTGAGGCGAGGGAACACCAGACCCCAAAGAGAGTCATGGAGTCATGCACTCCTTTGTCAAAGGGGAGTGGAGAACACAGGAAAACAAAGAAAAACAAACTGAAGCTCCTTCCTGTTGCTGAAATGTCAAGATACAGGGAAGGTCAGATATGCAGCGTGACAGAGGGAGATTAAAACTGATAGAGGGGTGACAAAGTGCAGAGAGAGACAGAGACAATGGCAGAGATGAACATGAATGAAGCAGGAGCTCCAGATCCAGCAGAGAAGAGCAGAGACAGATGAACAGACCGGGAGTGGAGTAAAGTTCAAAAGTCAAACAATACAACGGACAAAAGGGAGAAATGTAATTTACACTGCCCCTTCACCCTCAATAAATTCAGCCTTGTATTAGCAAGAAACCTTAAAAATGAGAACTGTGGAGGAAGGACATTTCCCAAAGGTACACAAAAAGCTACTTCAGAGAATGTTTCTGTCATAGGAGAGGGGAAAAGGGTGGGAAAGGGCCTCCTTGCATGACAGAAAAGGCATTTGAACACAGTAAAACAGTTAATAATGATAGTCATGGCAGCATCATACTCATGTTTCATGGCAGTAAGGGAGTAGTTTGTACATTAAGGATGTTAAAACAGTTCTGATATTGGCAATAACAGAGCTGATATGACTTGGAGGTTGGAGTATCTGAGTGGCACGTACCGCTCGGGCCCACTGCTGTCTGGGACTGACACAGTGGCATTGTACTGCAGGGGGCGGGGCCAAGCACCCAGAGCAATCAAGCACACGGATGTCAATCAAGTAAGCCGCCCAATAGGAAGGGCGCGATTATGGGTGTGGCCAACCAGGGAGTCAGGAGGTCAGGCGGCAACGCAGGTGAGCGGTATGAGTCGATCCGGAATATGGGAATTGGCCAAAAATGAACAGAAAAATAAAAACAAGGAAAAGGGGAGAGGGAGTGGAAAAGGAATACATTTTTTAATTGGAAACACTTTCAGTGTGACTTTCAATTCTCAATGTTGGAGGAGAATGGAGAACAGGAGAGGAACAGAGATTATGAGAATATATACTAGGCCAAATACTACTTCAGCCAGTATCATAGATACAGTAGAATGTGGGGTATTTATGATACAAAGCACTGCTTTTGTAACACAAACTGCCTTGGTTCCACAAAATCAATTTTTTTCTTTGGACTGAGATGATGTGTTTAAAGTGTTCTGTTGGTTTTAATACATATATTAAAATATAACCCAGTTCTAGACATGTGAGCTCCACCTACCACAGTGTGTGTTGCATGGAAAGAGTGAGAATGTGCAAACTAAACAGAAGAGTACTCACATCTGTACGTAGAGCTTTAATATTCTTCCCACCCTTTCCGATCACTGCTCCGGCATTCTGGAGAGAAGAGCCAGTCAGCAATAGCATTGAGGTACAGCAACTCAAAAGTGATGGGAAAATCAGCAACTTACTTTGCTCTGTAGCAGAATTCTGAGCTCCACCATGTCGTCAGAGTTTCGGGATCGCTTATGAGGCTGGTCCTCCTCCGTATCCTCAGCAGAACGCTTACCTGAAACGACATTCATAATACATTGATTTATATTACAAGCTATCAGAATTTCATCTTAATTTGTGGCCCTAAATATACCAGCATCTGCACCGAATTGCACATTTTTGCTCAGTTTGGACATCTGAATAAAATCGCTGTGTTTTTTTCCCCTTGAGCCTGAGCTCCATATTCTCCTACATCAGGGCTGTCCAAACTCGGTCCTGGAGGGCCAGTGTCCTGCAGAGTTTAGCTCCAACCCTAATTAAACACACCTGAACCAGCTAATCAAGCTCTTACTAGGCATAGAAACTTCCAGTCAGGCAGGTGTGCTGAGGCAAGTTGGAGCTAAACTCTGCAGGACACCGGCCCTCCAGGACCGAGTTTGGACAGCCCTGTCCTACAACATACGAGCCAAAAAAGCACGACATATCAAACATGATATTCAAAAATAAAAAATCTTTAGATTTTGTCTAAAGGTTCAATAAACTCATACGTTACAAAAACATTTTTTTCCAGGACTTTACAGGGTTTAACAAGATACTGCATGAAAAAAGTATGGTTGGATTTTATCCAGTAGGAAGTGAAAACCGAGCAAGGATATATATAAATATATATTTTATTTTTTTGGAAAAAGCATGCACAATAACATTCATTACATTGATTCAATTTCCATTTCATTAAAAATTAAAAGAATGAATGAAAGAAAGAAAACAAGAAAGAAAGAGAAATCACTGGACCTTACCATTACTCTCTTTGAAAGTCTCCTCTTCCTGTGGGTCATTTTCTGGCTCCATTATCTATCTACAACAAGCGGAGATGAACAGCCCTCTCTGTCCAAACGGATATCTACAAGAAAAAAAACAAACAGTGCATGAATGAATACATTATTTGACCTGACAGGATGCTAGTTCCAACCTTGTGTGTATAATCATTTTAGTGATCTTATCATAATGAACAGTGCTCTTTGTCGACTGAGCATGATTGGGGCAAAACACAGGAGGAGGAAGGATTAAAACAACTATATAATGAGTTATAAAACAAAAGAAGAACTGAATCTAAATATTCTGGTAGTTGTTCTCCTACAATGGAAAAAATGATGTACTGAAATGCAAGAACATTCAAAATTAAACAACTTATTTACTGCCTGGTAAAGTACAGGAAGACAAGCCTACACTTGGGTTGTGTCTCAAACTCTATTGCGCTGCCTAACGTTACCCAGACAGCACTGTGTGCAGCACAAGCGCATATGAGTGTCCAAACGCTCACAAACTATTCGCCAAATGGTTGCTAACGTTGTTGTGTAGATAGGAAGCTCGCTGTGTTTGATTACGGTCAAATTAATTCGTTAGTCGCCATCTTCCTGTAACGTTACTGGATCTGCTGCCTGACTGGCTAATTAACAATGGACGCTTTCAGAAAGCTAACGAGCTAGCTAACTAACGTTACCATAAAGTATGTTTGTTTGTTTTTCACCAAACTAGACTCATGTTTATTACGCTCGTGGTAAACGAAAAATAGTAATACAATAAATACAAAAATAAAAGCCACACGAGGGATAGCAACTGGGGAAATTACTTGGTTGCTAGCTTCCTTTAGCTAACAGAGATGAAGCTAGCTAACGGGTCTAACTTAGCAAGAAAACATAATGCAAATTGCGACCGTGTGCACGAAAAGTACCTCAATGATTTAGGATTGTGAACTTGTTTAACACTGGAATATACTGGTTAATTGCGTAGAAACAATAATAAGGTGATTTTTGTGTGTCAGGAAATGCATCTACCGACCTGTTCCTGTCGTCCTCCCCCTTCGCAAGCTACGACACAGTGACGCACAGAATCTTTCCAGCGCCGCTGGAACGCGGACCAATGAAAGCGCCTCCCTCCACAAAAGAAACGCGCTCTGATTGGTCCAAACCGCAGCAGAACCGGGACTCCAGAAGTGTCACGGACAATCATTGGTCAAAAGAAACGTCAACTTCTAAGAACACTTTTTATGATTAGCTAGCACGACTTTTTGATGTGTCGCAAAGCGCTTTTTTTTGACATGAGCCAACTGTGGTTTCTTTGCAAGTTACCTAATGAAGTATTAATATCAGTAAAGTAGTCAGGAGACGCCCTGTAGTGTAGGTTATGACTCCAGTACACTCATTAGAGCGAAGTGGCCTTCTCACATTAGGCTGCATGCGGAGTGATTTTCTGGTAAGGATGAGTTTGTCTGATCATAAAACGGTTGTAAATAGCAGTGTTGTGTGTAAAATGCGTTACTAAGTTATTAGTTACAGTAATTTAATTACTTTTCCAATGAAAAAGTAAAGTAAGGGATTACTCTTAAATTTTCTGTAATTTAATTAGTTACTTCTGATGTAATTGCATTAAAAACTGCAGAATTTAGACAAATGCTACGTAAAGCAATAGTGTACTTAACATCAAAAATGTAGCTTCTAATATTAAAATGTACGTGTTTAATGTTAGATTCTCCCTTTAAATACTTTGGTCAATTTATGCAATTTTATATCATTTATTTGAAAGAATTAAAAGAGCTGATTCATGTCTATCCTTGTATTGTTCAACTGGTCGAGATTGATATGGGAGTTGCAAACTAGTAATAAGTAATCCAATACTTTTTAGAGAAAGTATGTAGTACTAGTACACTGTTAAAGATGTAATTAGTAGTAGCTAGTAATTAATTACTTTTTTTAAAGAGTATTTTACCAAATACTGGTAAATAGTATAGTGTAGTGTAATAGAGTGTAGTAAGTTGCAAATTGTATAGTATGTCTTTTATTTGAAAAAGTATAAAAATTGTTTCTAATGATCACTATTATATACATATTGCAACAAAGTTTATATATATATATATAT